TGTGGGTTAAATACCCCAGAATTCCTACCTCTCTTATGGCTTTGAAGTATGGTGCAATGGATACAGTGTGTACCTGCCACTCTGTGGGCCAGGGTTCGAGTCTCCTGGTGGGTTGAGTGTTAAAAAGTTATAAACTTCAGCTTGCGAGTTATATAGGCACGTCTGTGCATTGAGCATTTACACCGAGTTTTCCTGACCGAGTTAAGTGGGATTTACTAGAAATTTACTAGAGGATGTACTAGAAATCCTAGTAAACAACACAGAAATCATCGATAGATACAGCGATAGCAGGCGGCTTGACGTTTGCGAGGCACTACACATCAAGAAGTCAACACCAGCAATCAACAGCCAATTATTGCACAACTATATTCTACCTCAACTGTCACAGATTTTAACTGAGGTTGAGAATGTCAACCTCAGCCACAGATTTTAGAACCTTAGACTTTATTCATTTCTGTTTTTTTTTCAATTGACACAAACGTTTACAAAACTGATTCCTTTTTTATTCAATTTACATGAAACTTACACAGTATATGTGGAGGGCATGTCTCTACATTGTGGGGCTTTCATTTTTCTCTAAGTTCATTTATTGATTTTATAATAGCAATAAACATGCCATATTTGCAAAAAAAATTTTGGGGAACTTTGAACATTTGTATTAAGAAAACTAAAGATGTTTTGGAAATTCTAAAGCCCCAAATCCTTTATTATATGCTAATGTGTCAGAAAAGTGTCACAGAATAATTATATCTGAAACGTGTGTTCTGAAGTGTGGACTTGAAAATGTGTAAAAAACGTTGAAAAAAAATAAACCTCCCTTTCTATTTACGCTGCAGTACTGAAACTTGGGACAATTTAAGCACTTCTCATATACAACTAGAAAATTAATATTGGTTGACATTGAACAACTTTCATCTATAATCCTCAGACGCCCCTTAATGAACTGTACAGTAATTTTAAGTGTTAATTTTAGTGTTAGTATAGGTTACGTAAATTTTAACAAATTTTTAACTTCAAGATGTGTGGCATCAATCAAGAAGACGAACACTAACAAGGTAAGTTGAGGTTTCTAGTTGAATATTTAATAATTATATGTGGCAAGGCAATTCAAATTATGTTGTTTGTAGTATAAAAATAGTCGGAAATGGTCACTTTTGGACTCAGAGGTGAAAAAGTACACTTATCCGTAACACATGAATATCCGGCTGGGGGTCCTTCCCATATAATTCGGATAATCGAGTGGAGTCGGTATATAATTATCACTGTTCAAGGGTTAAGTCCAAGTGTTGTGGGACTAGTAATCTTTATAACGTACTTGTTCAATAGTGTTTGCAAATTACAGCCACGTTCCAGATATTTTTGGACTTCTAGCTTAAGTCTACAGAAATAAACCCCTGTATGATTCCAGAAGCTAATATTTTCAAAAGCACTTTTACTCAGTATAAATGTCTTTAACTTGACACATGAAGTATGAGTACTGTATAAGGTATGTCTGGGAAAAACCTGGTATTACATGAAGTCTTGCTGCCCTAAGAGGCTTTCTAATATCCGCAGGGATAGTTATATTTACCCTTCTTATCTTTAGTAGGTAAGGACGAGTAGAAAGAAACTCGTGTCCTTACAATGGAAATGGTAGTTTATTTATTGAATTACCGGGCAACATAATGGATGAAGGATTACTGGGTCATTACAAGGGAAGGTTGCATATATATGAAGAGTTTGAGTGGATATAAATAGGAGCTGTCTCATATAGGCTAATGAACCTTCTGCAGTTTCCTTTTTTCTTATGTTCTTTTTCTTAACTTTATTTTGGCAGATGATGCTGTGTTAATGTGGACTGTGCTCTGAAAGAAAAAAACTGAAGATGTGGCCACTGGTGATGACTTTCATGAGAACATATGCTCCATACGTAACTCTTCCTGCTGCAGCAGTCATTGGATTTATTGGGTAAGAACCAATGGGGGTGTGTTCTGAGGAGCAAGGTAAGCTTTGCTTACCTATAACAATTATTCCCTTCCAAATTAAAATATCTTTATTTAGTTAACATATTATTTACAGTATATGCCGGCATAACAATTCAACATTTGAACCCTGAAAAAAATATCTCCAAAATCAGGGGATCGACTTGTCTGCAGAACATAAAATGTGAACCTTTACCACTGAGAGAGAAACAAATGAAACGCCCAGCATAACACTCGTTGTACATCGCTTAACTCGGTCTATGAGACCAAATGTCTCTTGACCCCATCCCCCACCATTGACCCCATCCCCCACCACTGACCCCATCCCCCACCACTGACACCATTCCCCACCACCAAACTTCTCTTGACACCATCTCCCATCACTGACACCATCCCTCACCATTGACACCATCCCAACCACCAAACTTCTCTTGACAATCCCCCCACCACTGACACCATCCCCCCACCACTGACACCATCCCCCCACCACTGACACCATGACACCATCCCCCCACCACTGACACCATCCCCCCACCACTGACACCATCCCCCCACCACTGACACCATCCCCCCACCACTGACACCATCCCCCCACCACTGACACCATCCCCCCACCACTGACACCATCCCCCCACCACTGACACCATCCCCCCTACCACCAGAGTTTTCCTGACACCATCCCCCCACCACTGACACCTTCCCCCACCATCAAACTTTTCTAGACACTATCCCCCACCACTGACACCATCCCCCACCACCAGAGTTCTCTTGACACCTTCCCCCACCACTGACACCATCCCCCACCACTGACACCGCCATTTATTATGAATTCTTCATTTTGACTACATAAAGCAGTGTTAGAAGCAACTGAAATGGTAAAATTATTCTCGAGTTTAGTACAGGGTGTATGGAGGCAGCAGCGGGCCAGACTTGGAGGCGTCTCATTCAACAGGCCCGACAAAAAAAAAAAAAAAAAAAAAAAAAAAAAAAAAAAAGCTAGCTGACTTCCTAAACCGCCTAATACATCCCCCTCACTACTGACACACCCATTTATTATGCATTCTTCATTTTGACAAAAGAATATGATAGAGCGATGTGGTGTTACAAGTCACTGAAATGGTAAAATTTTCTCTCCTAATTTTGAGTAAAGCATCAAGTGAGTATAGTATCGAGGCAGCCATGTGGTGCGGAGTCAGCAGAGAGGGGCCAGACTGGGCGGACACATCTCGCTCACATCCTCCTAATACATCCCCTCACCACTGACACCACCATTTATTATGAATTCTTTATTTTGACTATGGATTATGATAGATCGATGTGTTACAAAAAACTGAAATGGTAACATTTTCTCAGCTAATTTGGTGAAAAGCAGACAGTGAGTGAACTGTCGAGGTGGAAGCATGGAGGCACCAGCCATACGTTGCCAACTTGCTGATAACTGATAACTAGAGCTCATCACTGACCCCACCTGTCACCCCTGACACCATCTGCTTCCCCTAACACCACCTGCCTCCCCTGACACAACCTGACACCACCTGCCTTCCCTGACACCACCTGCCTTCCCTGACACCACCTGCCTCCCCTGACACAACCAAGCATAACATAGCATAAATAACATAAGCATAACCATAACCAAGCAAATATTGCGACAGCCAGAAAAATGATAGGATGGATTACGAGAACTTTCAAATCCAGGGATCCCATCACAATGGTTGTACTCTTCAAATCACTTGTGTTGTCCCGTCTTGAGTACTGCTCAGTACTCACTTCCCCCTTTAGAGCAGGAGAGATTGCTGAAATAGAGGGAATACAGAGAACATATACGGCACGCATAGATGCAATAAAGCACCTAAATTATTGGGATCGTCTTAAAGCCCTCCAAATGTACTCACTAGAAAAAAGACGAGAGAGATATCAAATAATATACACCTTGAAGATACTGGAGGGCCAAGTACCAAATCTACACAGTAAAATAACAACGTACTGGAGTGAACGATATGGAAGAAAATGCAGAATAGAACCAGTGAAGAGCAGAGGTGCCATAGGCACAATCAGAGAACACTGTATAAACATCAGAGGTCCGCGGTTGTTCAACGTCCTCCAAGCAAGCATAAGAAATATTGCCAGAACAACCGTGGACATCTTCAAGAGGAAACTAGATTTATTCCTCCAAGGAGTGCCGGACCAACTGGGCTGTGGTGGGTATGTGGGCCTGCGGGCCACTCCAAGCAACAGCCTAATGGACCAAACTCTCACAAGTCAAGCCTGGCCTCGGGCCGGGCTTGGGGAGTAGAAGAACTCCCAGAACCCCATCAACCAGGACACCACCTGCCTCCTGACACTAAACTCCCAACTACTGACACCACTTGCCCCCAGACTCCAACCCTCACTAATGATGCAACCTGCCTCCCCTGACACCATTTTGTCATCCTACAACCATTTCTCACTGGAAATAATGGGTAAGCAAAATATAATACTGTACAACTGTTTACACTTAGGTGAATCATAGTTGATGTCAGTGGCTGTCATCAACTATGACAGCTCGGTCTCGGTGATCGCTTGGACGAACAATCCTCGCTTAATCGAACATTTGTATGTTCCACTGAACATTTAGTACCGAATTCAATTTGTTCGGATCTTCCGGGAATTCGCTAGAGCGGGGTTCATTAGAGTGAGGATGCACTGTATTTATAAAATGTGTGAACCATCACAATACTCAAAAGTATTGTGAGCATATTAGTGATTCAATTATTATGTTCATAAAATAATAAATAAATACTATAGTTTTATGATTATTACACTATATACACAGGTTATATATAAATATCTCCATGTTTTGTTCACCATAACGAACCACTAATTTGGTATGATGAGTCAAAAAGCAACAAGGAGTGGCTGCCATGCCAGCCAGCCACTTGCCACCACTCCCTCCCTCAACACCTCAGTTGCCAACATCCTCCTCCCACCATACTGTTTTTGCTTTTATTCACTATATACAGACATTATATACAAGTATCAACATGTTTTGTTCACCATAACTGTACAACTAAACAGTTATGGTGAGTTCAAACCAACACAGGTTGCCACACACAGCTGATGCTCCCTCCCTCCCTCACTGGTTCAGGGCCAGATGCACTAATTTTCCTCCTCCAACTATACTGTTTGTGGTGTTATTACACTACATACACATGTTATGTATACATATCTACATTTTTTCTACACACGTATCTATGTGCACCAATTGGTGCTCGCTCACAGGTAACGCATGTCCAAATTTCAGCTTTGCTATGGGGGAGTCATGCGTTTGAACCTTATATGCGTAGACCCCTGTAGGGAATTTTATTGTAAGCACATTGATACCAAATGGAACGACGTAGCACGAGAATTAAGGTGTGAAAACTGAAATGAATATACACGTTTTACTGCTCCTGTGCACTCACGGATAACGTTCGGCCGACTTGCGGCTTTGCTGTAGGGAGGGGTGACGCGCCGGGCTTTTGGACCATATATGCATATACTCTTGTAGGAAATTCTATTGTGAACACTTGTAGGAAATTCTATTGCGAACACATTGATACCAAAAGGATCAACGTAACACGACAATTAAGGTGAGAAAACTGAAACGAGTATACAGAGCGCCACTTGGTTTCTGAACTTTAGTGATCCGAAACTTCCAGTTTCCCGATTGGGGTTGGGGAGTCATGCTACAAAGGGGTCCGTCAAGTGTCACGCCGGCCTGTGGTGGTGGGTGGGAGATGGTCCAGTTTGCCCACTGTGACTTCACAGATTCACGGCCTATTATTCCTATTATTTTGAATTGTCATAAGGCTGGAATGTTCATTCTGTGCTTTTGTTTTACATATATCTGCACCTTCAAGAAACATCTGTGCACCATGTCCGCTCCAAATGCACGCATTGTGTCAGCGATGGATGACTGGTGGGTGGATGGATGGGAGAGCTTAGGTGGGAGGCAGTATGAGAGAGGGGGGGGAGAATCAGTGAGAGAGGGGGGAGAATTAGTCAGAAAGGGAGGGAGAGATGCTAGGAGGGAGGGGGAGGTAGGGAGAGATGCAAGGAGGTAGGCAGGAAGAGAGGGAAGTAGTGAGAATTAGGGAGGGAGGGAAAGGCAGGCAGGCTGGCAGGCAGGCAGGCAGGCAGGCAGGCAGACAGGCTGGCAGGCAGGCAGGCAGACAGGCAGACAGTGAGGCAGGCTGACTGGCAGGCAGGCTGGATGGCTGACTGGCTGGCAGGCAGGCAGGCAGGCAGGCAGGCAGGCAGGCAGGCAGGCAGGCAGGCAGGCTGGCAGGCAGGCTGGCAGGCTGGCAGGCAGGCTGGCAGGCAGGCTGGCAGGCAGGCTGGCTGGCTGGCTGGCTGGCTGGCAGGCAGGCAGGCAGGCAGGCAGGCAGGCAGGCAGGCAGGCAGGCAGGCAGGCTGGCAGACAGACAGGCAGGCAGGCAGGCAGGCAGGCAGGCTGGCAGGCAGACATACTGGGAAGGTGTCAGGCAGGCAGGAAGGGATGTATGGATGTTGAGGTGAACCACGTGACCCCTTGAGAGAGAGAGTGTGTGTGTGTGTATGGGTTGGAGGGGGAGTGTCGGTGGTAGGGGAGGGACCAACTGACTCCGTAAGCCTAACCATACTCGACAAACCTGTGACCCAGATTTGTTTCTTAAATGTACATCATCGTATATTTTTGGCAGGCTGGCTGGCAGGCAGGCAGGCAGGCAGGCAGGCATGCAGGCAGGCTGGATGGCAGGCTGGATATGGCAGGCAGAGAGGGAGGCAGGCTGGATATGGCAGGCAGAGAGGGAGGCAGGCTGGATGGCAGGCAGAGAGGGAGGCAGGCAGGCTGGATGGCAGGCAGAGGGGGAGGCAGGCTGGATGGCAGGCAGAGGGAGGCAGATTGGATGGCAGGCAGAGGGAGGCAGGCTGGATGGCAGGCAGGCAAAGGGAGCCAGGCATGCTGGATGGCAGGCAGAGAGGGAG